ATTCATTCATTCATTCATTCATTCATTCATGGTGTGTTTCTTTACTTCGTTACTTCCCGCAGGTTTGTTCCAAGCCGCGGGTGGCTGGAAGAGAGGCCCCCCCGGGGGGCCTTTCGTTCGAGACTGTTGCTTCCGAACCAGCAGAAAAGACACAAGCGACCCCCAAAAAAAAGACACAAGTGAACCCCAAAAAAAAGACACAGGTGACCCCCCTTCCCGAAGCAGCTGCCCACCTCATCCTTGCCGAATGCTGTTTGCTGGCCCAAGTTCGGACACAGGCCTTGTGCCATACCGCCTTCATCGCAGCGGCAATGCAGAGTTCCCGATCAGTCTGGGGAGGTTTTGGCACGTCCTACCTAGCACCAAGTTTACACTTTGCACGCAGATGACCGCACTCCTTCTGAGCTTCAACTTCAGATTACTCTTCTTGCAAACTCAGATACGAAAGCAACAAGAGCTTGCAATTCCCAACGAAACTGCTGGACCATACATGCACATCTTGTGTATGTGGCCGCTAAATGTAGTAGCGGCTACTAGCGTTAAAGTATGGCAGAACAGCACGCAACGAAGATACCGGCCCAGCCAATTGAATTGTGGTGATGTTGTTGACCGGTTCTTTCCGTTCCGTTTCGTCATTGTTCGGCCTCTATGTCACTCCAATCTACTGGCCCTGTCCTCTGAGTCCGCAAGGAGACGGCATGAGCTGCAAGCTCCAGCCCTGAGCACGGTGCTTTCGCCAACGGGCCACTCGGGGGGGCTTTTCAAGCGGGCCAATCGGATCACCAAGCAGCAGGATCCCAAGGACAGAAGGCTGCAAGAAGTCCAGAACCTCATGAGCTCGCTGACTCCAAAAACCTACTGATGCTGCGCGGATGCGTGCCAGGCCCCAACCATGCCGACACATGCAAAGCAGGTACAAGCACCGCACGAGCCAGTAAGCCCTCAAGCCCCACAGCCAATAACTGTTCTGCCCCGGTCGCCATGCACCAGTCGCCATTCACGTCAGAGCACACTTTCGCTTGTGAGCTTCCCAAACTGTCGACTGCAGTTAACCACCGACTGTGACATGCGAACCCAGGAATTACCCCGATGCTGATGAAGCCCAGTTGCCGTTGATGTGACCTCCGGAGACGGCAGTAAGGCGAGCAAGTCTTCACTGGACCTGCTCCTGGCAACGGCCGGCCTGCAATGAGACCGAGCGAGAAATCTGTGGCTGATACACTTCAGAAGGTGCAAGAAAATGCCCCGCTTTTGTGAACAACCTCCCACGTAGTATTGTACATGTGTGCATAGCATGCGCAACGATGACACCGGTGTCGCCAAAAAAACCGAGGAAGCAGCCTCTCCGCATCCCTGCGGCCCAGGGCCAGTGCTGCAAGGCCCTGGAAGCACTGCAGGTAACCGGCCTCTGCACTTTGCAGTCGGGCTAAAGAGGTGAAGGGCTGGTGGCCTTCCGCCGACCTGAATCGAGGACCCGACCGAAGAGCCATCCTCCGTCATGGCCCGTCGGCTGTCTAATCGGCCATTCTCCATAAGGGGCCGTTGTGAAACGTTGCCCACATCTAGGTCCACGCCCTCTACGAAATGCACATGGGCACAGATCTGATCGTGGTTCACGACTCAGGAACTGCGTCTGAACGAGTTTGGAATACTTCCTTCAAGCGATTGCTGGGACTGCCTGCTTGCTCTTCAGTTTAAGGGGCCTGACCTGGATCCCCGGGCTGTGCCAGTTCAGGCTTTCACCCGGGATTTTCCCACTCCTGGAGCCATGCCCGCGAGACACAAGAAGCTTCCGAGCCTCCTGACCCAGGTGCAACATCTGCCAGGCAGACTGCAGAGTCGGAAAACATATTTCCGAATCGTCAGCGAGCGAGGGTCTATCGACGTGAACATTAATGGCGATCCAGGAATCTTGCTGAAGTCTTCAACACATCTCTGGCGTCTGGGGCCTGGAGCTGTCTGAGAGATCGTGGTGATGCAAACAGATCGTGAAGACCTGAGCCAACGCGCAACTGTCGCTGCCCCTGGCATGCCATAATCCCTGACAACATGCCTTGGACTCTAGCTTTACGTCGGGCCCCCTTGTACCGAAATCCCGGGATAGCATGGCATGTAGGAGCACTCAAGCCTTCAACAGATCAACCGTTTCAAAGAGTACAAGAGAGCTTGAGCTGCTCGGGGCGATGATGCTGAGATGCCACAGCAACACCTGCATCCTCGAGCATCCGTCTGAGAATCTGGACGCAGTGAGACCGCGATGATCTTTCGTTCATGCTTGTTGTTGTCGTAGTCCGCTGAGAGAAGCCTGCGCATCGACACACGCGTCGTTGACCCCTCGGTGCAAAGCCGCTAAATGCCTTCAACATGCAGAAAATCCCGCCGTTCCTTCGCGTATCAGGCGATTCATCTGATCAGAAGTCTCCACCACCTGCAGGTAACATATGATGGCTAACCCTGGGCACCAAGTGCAAAATCTTTCAGGCACGAGCTACTCGTAGGATGCGCTCTCAGCTGGCCCATTCTCGAGCACATGCACTCGGTCCTTTTCCAGGTTTCCGTCATTCGAACACCGCATGTCTTTCTGAGTGTTTGCGCTAGTCAACTTTTCCCGCTGGCTGCTGGCAGAGCGTAAGTAGGCAGAATGTCCGGCCCAAGAACTCGTGTTCCTGGTGTCGATGCCACACGTCGACCGCATCCACTTATAATTGCCGACAATACGTTCTCTCCGTCTGCATCTTGCCAATGTGCGCAATCGGGAAGCATCTTGCAGTAGAGCATTCCACCATGCATGGCAACACGAAGAAGCGCATTCCGGATGACAGCAGTTGCGTTCATCGCTATTGTGATCAGCAGGAGAACCTGCCCTCACTAATTCCTTCATGGTGCTCAAGAAGGCACAGGATAAGGTGCACCTGCAGGCTGGAACTGCCTGAGTTGGTCGAGTCTAGCTACAGCTGGCTAACAGCTAAGCAGCACCTGCCACATCTGTGCTGGATCTCTGGGTCCCGTGCTTATTGCATCAGAGTCATGGAGGAGGCATCCGAGACCACGGTCGCTCATTGCAGTGCTCACAAATAGCCTCCTGACATGTGCAGACTTCATCTGATCTTCAAGTCCGGAGGCAAATTCTAAAGGCTGGCGGGCTTGAAAGCGTGCCGGCATGTTTGTCCAAGCACTGTCTTGGTGACCCAAGTCCAACAGAAGGTGAGCACACAGACACACACACACACACCAAGGATGAATTTGGCTGCATGGCGGCCGGGTGCGATTCATTCGCTTGCTGCACCAACTGTAACTATTTTGTGTAGGTTCTGCTTGCTTGCAGGCCAGCAAGGCTTCCTCTCTCTGTCCATGTCTGTCTCCCTTGCGGCAGGCCCAAGGCGAGGGTATAGCCCCATCCGTCCGGCGTCCAGGGCCAGTCACAGGCTCGCATGAAACCGCACCAGACCCAACTAAGCCCCTTTCTCTCTCTTGCTTGCTGCCGATCTCAGGCGCAGGTATCAACCCCCCCCCTCCCGGGAAGGGGATCTGTCCGTCCGGCATCCGATGCCACAATCGGCGTGAGACTTGTACACGGGCTTCCCCCGATAAACCTTTAAACCATCCTCAACGCCTGCCCCCGCCACTCTCTCTTCTTCCACAGAGCATGCTAGACAATCAATTAAGATCCCCGGACCCCCGAACCACCCATTCGATCTGGGGCTTTGGGGGCGATCGTGAAAACATGTTCCACGCGCCCTGTCTCGCCCTCTCTCTTCTCTCACGCCACCACAAAGCCCAGGTACTGTGCAGCCTAAGCGGCGTAAGCTGCGGTCGCTGCCCTCAACCTCTTCGCCCGGCTGCCGTCCTTCGTAGTCGAACCAGATCTGTTAAGTTGCTACCTCGCAACAGTCGCCCTGCCTGCATGATGCACAGAGGCCTCGGGCCCTAAGGCCTAAGACCTTCTCCCAACGACTCGTGTGATTCTCCCTGGCCTCATCGCCCATAGTCGTCCCGAGGCGCTTGTAAGCTGCGTGCACATCTGGGGCCGGGGTGCCTAGCACTTCATATGCGGATGTGCTCCGGTGCGGCACATCATGAGGCATCACGTGCCTGGCCGCAAGCCCAGAAGTTCGTAGTGCCGCTCCAATGCGAGAGGTAAGTCCCTCGCGGTACCCTGAGCCTTCATTGCAGTGTGAGGGTGCTTGAGCGGACAAAGTGGCAAACAGCCGATTCCGATCATGCTATGGAATCCTCCAGCAGACTACAAGGCCTGTTTGTCTAGCAGTTGCTCGGCCTGCGCAGCACGCGTTGGGCTTCTTCGGGAATGATGCCTCCGGATGGGAACTTCACAGCTCTCTGTCATATGTCACGTTCATCACATGCAGCACAGAACGTGGCTCGACACAAAGAGACTACCGGCGGTCACTGCTGACAGTAGCTTCCTATCTGCAGGGCGATATATCGAAGATCGGATGCACATTTGGAATTTTGGGGGTAGCTGCTGACTGCTATGAGGCAACACTCAGCCGACCTTACGAAACGGCCGGCTGCCGCTGCCTGAGAAGAGCTAGCAAAAGGCGAGTGCTAGGACCACAATGCAAAATGAATGATTGCGTCCGCATTCTACACACAACTTGGCAAGCTTCCAAATATTGCAGCTTGGAGGCATCAACATGGAGCGTGGCTGCCGGGGCTGGAAGCCGAACTTCGGCCTCGTCGGGCGCAGAGCAGACCTCTTCCAGGCGCTTGCTTGCGTTGCAGGCGAGGGACGCGTGGTGGAGTGGAGGTCTTCAGGACTTCCTCGCCGTCATGATGCGGGCATCAGACATCCCTGCAGATGCGGCTTGGCCTGTTGCACCTGTTGGGCCACAGATTGCAGGCTTGCAACCAAACTGGTTGAGCCCTGTCTCCACCAGCTGCATGAGGCAGGGCAACAAGCGGAATCTCGGGTCAAACTGGCCCAGCGTCTTTCTCATAGAGAAGCCAGAAATCGTGAGACTTGCCTAGCGTCCTATCTTCAGATAGGGTATGATACATCGGCATGAACAGTTAACGGCTGATGCTGATGATGATCCTGATGATGATGAAACTGAACTATATAGCGTATGGCTAAAGATATTTCTGTGCGTGCATGCACCGTCACTGTTGTCACACACTTGTTTCTTGCCATATTTATTCTCGTTTCATGACGAGCAAACTCCCTTCTCGCTTTTATCATGACTACGGGTCGTTTCAGAAGTAGGCTCATTGCTGCGATTATCGACAATCGGTCGCACATCTTCTCAGCACCACCATCGTTCACCAAACATTCAGATAACACCGTGTGGAGGACATGTTGGGACCTCGTACTCTGTCCGCAATCCTGTGTGCATAAATCGCGCCCTCGCCACATCCGCTCACATCTTGCGGTGGTGCACTTTGGTCCGATGACACAGTTCCTACTAGCGCTTATATGATTACGCTTGAGGCACAATTATACTTGTAGCTGCTAGTAGCGGTCCATGCACGAGCAGGTGTAGGTTGCGGTCGAAGTAGAAGCTGTACTGGCAGTTAGTGCCAACAACTACTGCTACGGCTACTACTACTACTACTACTCCTACTACTACCACTACGTACCACTACCACTACCACGACCACTGCCACTACCACTACCCCTACACTACCACTACTACTACTACTACTACTACTACTACTGCTACTACTGCTACTACTACTTCTACTTTTACTTCTACTTCTACGTCTACTTCTACCACGACTACTTGTAGTACGACTACCTGTACTACTCCAACTCCTACTCCTACTACTACTACTACTACTACTCCTCCTCCTCATCCTACTACTACTACTACTACTACTACTACAACTACGACTACAACAACAACAACAACTACTAC